TCCTCCTCCTCCTCCTCCTCCCGCCCTCTACGAGACCCCTTGGTCTTTCTCTGGCGTGTAGCCAATTGCGAACAAGACAGTAGACTGAGCCACCAAACGCGAAATCGCAGACAAAAGTGGTAGTGGCGCAGCGCTCATGGATTAGCGTGGAAGGCCAGCGCTGCGATCAGCGTTTTGCCCTTTTTATCCCACGCGGGTTCCCTCGGACCTATAACTCCCTAAGCAGGGCCGGGCGCACTTTGGAGAACCCCAGAGACTGCGGGGAAAGCGAATGGGTGGCCTTTGTATCACACTTGGCCTTCTTCCTGCTCTCTCCCTTTCCCCCAGATTAAAGGTTGGGAGAATTTCGCCTCTCTTGGCCCTCTGTAGATTACACAGTTGTCCCGATCCAGGCGAGGGAGCTTCTGAGCCTCGAAAGGCAGAGAAACTTGCCATACACGAGACGGTTCGGGTACAGAGCAACTAAATCTGCAGGAGAAAGTAGTAAACAGGGGGAGGGGAAAGAGCACGCGGTCAGGTCTCCAAGCCCATCAAATCTCGCTCTTCAAAAACAAACAAACAAAAAACTTGGCCCTGCACAGCCAAAGCCAGTTTGGCTTCTACTCCTTTGTGCCTGCCTAAGCTTAAATCTGCTGTTATCTAATTGAGGCGTTAGTATTCCTCACGTGAGAAGTTGATTGGTAGTATGAACACGTGGCTCATTCAAAAAGCCGGACTATTCAAGTGATTTTTCTTCCCCCTCTTCCCTCCCTCTCTTTTTGGGAGAGGCGGTGCCTGCGTTCGCGTATTGTAACATTTTCATACTCCGCCTGCTGCTTGCAAGGGGGCTTGGGGGCAAGACAAAAAAGTAGTTTCCCCCCCTTTCTCCTCCCTTTCCTTTTTTTTTTTAAACCGCCATCGCAGTTCCAAACGCGTCGTGATTTCTACTGTAGCTTCGGATAGCGCAGCGAACATTCAGTTTTTGGTCCCAGGCTTTTTTTTTTTTTTTTTTACTCTGAAGCGGGGGGGAGGGGTGGGTGGGAGACGGACGGATACAGGCTGCAGTTGTAAGTCCTCTTTTTTTTTTTGCACCCGCCTTCTCTTATTTTGACTCCAAGAATCATTTGAGGGGGTGTGTTTTTTTGTTGTTGCTTCAAGTCAGCCTGTGCATGTTTTTTTAATTATCGTTAAGCAAAGGTCTATTTTTAATTAGAAGATGAACAAGCTGTACATCGGGAACCTGGGCGAAAACGTGTGCCCTTTGGACCTGGAAAGTCTCTTTAAAGAGTCCAAGATCCCTTTCACCGGTCAGTTTCTTGTGAAGACGGGATACGCTTTTGTGGATTGCCCCGATGAGAACTGGGCTATGAAGGCCATCGAGGCACTTTCAGGTGGGTGATAGTCCCCTCTGGCATCCCAGCCTTAGCTTTCCGTACCCTCATTTCAGGGCGCCATCCGCTGCCTTCCTCTGCTCCAACAACCCCCCTGGTAGTAATTCTCTCTGCCCCACCCCTCTGCGTGTTGCCCTCGTCATTTTGCTTTAAAATTCCTAGTCTCGGATTATAATCGCTCAGATTGTCCCGAAGGGTCTCCCCAAGGAGTTTTTCGGCCCGGGGTGCGGGGTTCGGGTGTGCTAGGCTGCACTTATTCTGAAGGACTTCAGCCGCGCTGCTCGGGCCCCCGGGAGAGCACTGCTTAGATTGGCTCGAGGAGGTCGCTTCTCCCTCCTCGCAACTCCCGGGCACGCTGTCAGGTAACGCACGAATGGCTGGGGTTCAAGCCTTTCGAAAAAAGCATTGCGATAGGAATTACAAGGCCGCTGGGCTCGGAGAATCTGCTGCTCTCTCTCCCCCCCCCCGCTAAAAAAAAATAAAATTTCAAATGTGTTGGAAAAAACGGCGTGAGGAAGAGGGAGCGAAGGCGCGCTAAACGTCGCCCACAGCAGTGGAAAGGGAGGCGCGAGTGCAGAAACGCACACGCCAGGGCCCAACTGGAAGCCACCTATTTCGTGGCGTAGGGACTCCCGCTCGGCTACAAACGCTCGCACACGGCGTATCGTGGCTTCCCCACGGCTGGGAGATGTAAGTTTCCAGTTGCCCGTAGGGCAGGTGGAAATGGGGGCACGAGCCTTTCCATGGACCCAACGTGCCGCGCTGCAAGCCTTGCTAGTAACGCAAAGCGCGCGCGCCCGGAGATTCTCGCTGGCCTCTCTAAATTACGCCCCCCCCTCACTTGTTTCGAATCGGTGAGGGGGGACTTCCCGCGTGTGGGGCTGCTGATTCCCTCTCACACCAGAAGCCAAACTTTGACTGTTTAAAACAAAAACAACAAAGGGCTCCTCCTCCTCGGCGTCCTGCCTCTTTCAGGAGAGAGGTCGAGGCCTGAAAGCCCAATTCGCCACTGCTCCTGGGTGTCATTTATTTCGCTTTTCCTTTGGCTCTCAGGCACTCACTGAGCATCTCGACCTCTCAGCTTCTACATCCTGTTTTTGTGTGAAAGACAACTTGGCGGGCTAAACGGGGGAGGCTGGTTAAGCTGAATGATTTCATTTGAGTCCTGTTTTTGCTCTCCTCCACCTCCGAGTTGGGGGGGCCTTTGCTTCAGCCGGTGACGGTAGGAGTAGGCATAAGTAAGAAGACATGAGGGGTGTATTTCCAGGAAAAAACGCGTGGGGAGCGCGCTCGTTTTTCACTGAAACCAGCAGTTCCTGTTTCCTCGTGACAAGTTATTAGAGGCCTGCTCCTTTCGTCAAGGGAGCCATACATATGTATGTGTCTTTGTGCAGTTTACGTTTCTGCATATCATTTTGGAAAGTAGCATAGGTTAAATAATGAAGCATCTACCTTAAATATGGAAAGTCTTTTAATACTAGTTTGACCATTTATCTTGGGAATTGACCTCTTTGGAAGATACCTTTGTGACTTGTGGCTGTCATTCCACTATCCTGCAACTTTTTAAAAACATACAAAGAGTTGCATTTGTGTTGTTCTGCATCATTACAGATTCAGTTCATAAGGGCATTAGAAGGTTTGTTGGGGTGGGAGAGCATGTAATTCATTCTATAATGAGTTGTGTTACTGTTTGCAGGTAAAGTGGAGCTGCATGGTAAACTCATAGAAGTTGAACATTCAGTTCCCAAAAGACAAAGGTAATTTATTATATATGCATAATAGTTTAATGTCTAAATTGAAAATTGCATTATTTATAAGAGATTGAAAAAGTACTTTAATCTGAAATTAATAATTATATTTTGTGAGAAGCCATCAGAGCTGTGATTGTATAGAAATTTGTTACAGTTTATAAGTAAGTTGAAATATTTAAATATTTTGTAATGCAATTAATTTCAAAGAAATAGTTTTAATATTAAGAATTAGCATGTTGAAATTTAAAAAGGTATATAAAGTTTGTCATTTTCCAAGTTTGGTGATCTGAAATTGGAGAGGGTAATTTATTTTGTAGAATGATCACGGTCATATGTTGAAGTTGAGGTATTTTCTTATCAAAATATATTCTTATAGAGTAGAATGGCATTTAAACTTTTTATGGCAAGATACAATTTATGCATAATTAACTTTTTGTGAACTTTGTGAAGTGAGTATTTAGCAGCAGTTTTTATGGACTTGATATGTTTGAATCTACGTATTAGAGCAACTTAAGAGTTCCTTGGGACAAGTACATCTGTCTTCATTTCCTGAATGATCAGGTCATAAAGTATTCCCAGTTTTTAAAGAACACAAATTTAGTATGTTAGTTGTTAATCTTTTTAGGATTATAAAGCTAGTTATGGATATTGTCTAAATGAAATAAAATGTTTTTAAAGACCTCTAGAGAAAGTTTGAGGCCTATAAATTAGACTTTTAGTATTTGATTTTGGGAATTAAAATATACAAAGCTTATTTGAAGAATTTTAGTTGGAAATGTGTTTTAAGGGGTAGGGAGTAGACAGCAAATACTGGTGTCATTTGGCATAATTGCTATACGTTAAATCTACTGGCATTTATTTTGGTATGCTTACTGAATATTTGTGCTTTCATGTTTCATTTGTAACCTAACTAGTGGCATCCATTATGTATAAGCTTATTTAACAGATCATTAAAAATTAAAAAACTAGTTCCTATGTATACACTATAGATTTTGAACATATATATCATAAATAAATTAAGATACAGATTTCACATTGATATAATACAAAGGAGTGCAATAGCTGTGTGTATCATGAAAATATCATACTTTACAAAATGAAAAATTATACTTAGTTTATAATACATTATTTTGTTCCTATCAAGCAATAGTAAAAACATGCTAAAATATTGAAAATTTCTTTGATATGTTTTCACTTTTCTTCAGTGTGTTATTGCTTTGAACCTGAATATGTAGAAAAACTGTACCAAGCATCTAGTTGAGAAACAACAGATGCAAATATGTTTATTTTATTTTATTTGTAAATTTGACTGCTCTTCATGGAGCAGATTTTTGCTAAAATTATTTAAAATGCCACCAATGATTAAAATATTTTTGAAAACATGATATAAATGTTTAATAGAATAGAGGATGCATATGTATAATCTGATATGTAGGCCAGGTTAAAATACAGGCTATAGTCCTATGCACATTTGGAAATAAATTCTGTTGAACTCAGCAAGTCTTCCCAGTGAATCATGCATTTGGTTGTAAATAATAGACTCTGTTTATACACTTCATAAGTGTACAATCTTATTTAAGTAAGAAACTAACATTCTCTGAGAAGGAACACTCTGCTTGCTAGTAGCTTTTCTTTTATAACTTCTTTTTTAAAAAGATCTTTGCATAAAGATCTGTGTAGGTAATTGAATATCCATATGGCAGAATATAAGTTTAGTCAATTTTTTAGAAATTCTAAGTTAGCATTCTCTCTCCTCCCTTTCCTTTTCCACTTCTGTTTCTTAATAGAAGATGTATATAGTTGGTACCAATTGATCTGGGTCTGATTTGGTTGGATAAATATTTCAGTTGGGTTAGAAAAAAATTCAATACATCATTTGACAACTACATTTAATAAGAAAAAATGGAAACATACATTAAACTGTATTTATTAAAACAAATATTTATTGGTGAAGTAAAAGTTCTGAACTATTTAGGGATAGGTCTACTTCAGTATAAATATTCTAGTTCAAGTTTTGCTGTTCCAGGTATTTCTCCTTCACTTAGCTTGGTGAGACCAAGGGTATATTGTTAATCCATATATTCTCATATTAATGATTTCAGTAGCCCTTATAAATATAAATTACATTTGTAGGGCCAGTTATTGCAAGAAGTACCCTGTTTTTCTATTTAAAAAAAGTTTAAGGAGTCCCTGCGTTCCAGCAGTTTGAACTTCTAAATTAAAAAAAGGTTGCATCAATACTTACAGAATCAACCTTTATATCTTCTGTGAAAGGCAATATGGAACTTTAGTGCTCTCGAATGCTCATTGAAGTCCTGAGATAGACAAATAGTAAATTGTGGTGGGGTGGGAATGGTCTGCATATTCCAAATAGGAGACTAAAAGAGGGAACAGTGAGGAGATGGAGAAGAACAAACTGTTTACAATGACTGTATTCAGGTGATTTCTGACTTACTATAGAAACTTCAAAGGAACACATGAATGTAATGTTTTTGCATTCATAACCTCATGGATAATAGAAAATATCTTACTCTATTATGGAAGTTTATGTTACTTCATTCAGAATTTGGAAGTGACATTGTAACAATGCTGCCTCTTAGCCACATGTTGGAAAAGAATGTGGAATATTCTTAGCTATGATTTTCAGTTCCCACAAAAGGAAAACTATAAAACAAGTTCACGCATGCATATTGGAAATCTTTGTATGCACGCCTTTTAGATAGTATTTAGTTTGCTTCAACAGCTGTTACCTTGTTGGGTGATATACATACCAGAGACTGATTATTCAAATAACACTGATGTCATTTGAATAGTTTAGCTTTGGAGTGGAACCTGATTCTTGCTGGCTAGGGCTACATTATATTGAGTCAGTCCTTGAGGAGTATGAGTATTATTTAATCCTTGCAAGTTACACGGTCCTGACATTTATCCCTAAAATTAGAATCTTCTTGAAAGTTCTATTCTTGTTTTGAGGAGAGATGCTAATCTATTTTAGGGTGTGTATGTGTATTGGGGTTTTTTGGGGAGTATGTGTATGTTAAGATTAACTATGTATCTGTAGTTTAGTTTGTAAAGACTGATCAGTAGAAGCACATCATAATGTTCAGCAGTCTTTTTGTCTCCCAAGGCCATGCATAGCAGTGCCTGGTATATTATGAGCTGTTCCTGCACATTGAAGCAAACTTATAAACAATCTTCCAACTCTTACAGTTTAGGTATCAAGATTTTCTTTCCTGTGTCTCAAAATTTTATAAACTTCTCTCCCTCACCCAAGTCCCCAAATGTTGACTGATGATAGGAGGAAGCTATTCTGAGTGCCAGTAAATTGAAAAGCTTTGTGCCTTAGAAAGTTGGAAGAGGAAGATGGCTCAGGAGATGAGACTCTTTTCTTGTTGACCTCTTAATTTAAATTGTTTTTCATAGTAATTATGTCAAGTGTTTTGTGGACCAAAAACAATTATAATAAGGAGAGAAGAGTTGTCCTCATCCACCATTCCATTCTGAAATAATTATATGACAGGCTTAAATTTGGTGATGAAAAATAAAGCAACTTCAGTACTTGTATAAACCACTTAAAAGGTATAGATAGGCCATAGGTTGCCATATACATACTATATTCAAATCTGATTTCTGCACAAAATATGGATGTCGGATTTACTGAATACAAAAAAGGAAAATAGTTTAAATTCACTCTGAGTAAGTTTTTTAAAATTTATGGGCGAGAAAAATATTGAAAATCTAATTACTATTAAAAAGAAAAGGAAGTTCTTAAGAAATTCAGTTCTATGAGAGGTGATGATATTAAAGATTAGTCCTATGTGTAGTCTCCCCATCTTTACTTTTTGACTTTCATATTATATTAGTCTTTATGTTCTATAATAACCATATCATTGCATTAAAAAGTATATAAAGTATGTCTTAGAGGATAGCACTACCTAGCTGACAGTGGATGATCTCAATAGCTAAGTTTCATTGGCTGTGGTTAGTGCTTGGATGGGGGATTGTCAAGGAATTCAACGGTGGTTAGCTATTGAAAAACTGTTTTGGAAGAGAGTAATAGTAAACTACTTGGATAGCACAGCCAAGAAAACTGCCTGGATGCAGTTACCAGTGTCAAGCCCATCTTTTCTTTTTACTTTATAATGTGTATCATTGGGCCTTATAAAAGTAAGCAGTTGAAAGTCTCCCAATACTGGTATCATGTCTTCATAGGAATACAGTGGAATCGTTTTTTGAAATAGAATATAAGATATACAGTATACTGCACTTGGAAAATAATTTAATCAGTATCTGTATATGCTGATATAGAGTTTAAAGATGGACTTACAGTATGCTTAGAAGGAAAAGGTAGTTAACATTTATCCCATACTTCCTATAATGAAGCAGAGACAAATACAGCTGAACCAGTTCTATCATTAGTACAGTCAACTAACTTAGAGTTCCAAAGAGCAGCTATATCCTGTAAAACAGAATTATTTTCTTTCCATTTAAGCCCATTGTACCATATATTGTAAGCTTGCTGTTCTTTTTCAGAGTTAACAATTGTTTATCCTGTAGAATGCCATTCCAAGTAAACAAAGAAAACCTTCATTTTTTAAAATCATTTTAATTCCTTAATCATTTTTTGTGTTCTTTCTAATCTTTTGAAAAAATGGAATCTAAAACGGAAACTGATTTCAATATTGGTATTCTTTAGAATAGGATGTTTTTGCTAACATGAAATGGAATTTTAAATGTTAACTCAGCCTTGTAAGTTAACCTCAAGAGGTGGCTTCAGCGCACTGCCCTCTTTAATACCAGTAGGCTACAGGGGTGGCTAGGAGGGGGTGTTTCTAGTATGTCTACCTGCTCCTGCCTTGTGGCTATGAATACAAAAGTAGGGAAAGAACTGGATCAGGCTTTGGTTGCATATGTGTATTAACATTGTATAGATGTTCTGTAGCTGCCCAAGGGTGTGCATTTGTGTCTTTCCTGGGTCTGAGGAAACAAGATATGACAGTTCCCAT